AAAAAAAAAAAAAACAAAAACCAAAACAAACCCAAACAACCATGAGTGCAGGATTCAAAGCCAGCAGTTTACACAGGTTCTTAAGTTCGTATCTATAGGTGGACGGTAAAGGAAGATCAGTTGGTTTTAATTTGCAATATTTATGTCCCAGGGTTCCTCTCTCCATCAAATCAAACGGTATCATAGACAAGCTGGCATCTCTTGAAAAATAGCATGGAATTACACAGCTCATTTAAGAAAACATGCTTATTTCTCGTGGTTTTTCTTTTCATTATTATTACAAAGACTCACGTCCACCTGTTCTTGCGGCGTGGAAAGAGGCAGGAGGGCGAGGAACAGGGGCGGAGAAGGGAGAGGGGGAGGAGGAAAGAAAGGGGCAAGTTTTTGAAATAAAGACCACACACTTGGTAGTTTTTAAATTTCATTTCCAGGCTAACCTACTTTTTATTTAATGCAAATTACAGTACCAGTTAACTATTTCCGAACCGAGTCACACAGAACAAAACGTATTTACAAGGGGGATGGGGCGGGGGAAATAATAAAACATTAAGCATACTTTCCACAAAAAAAGTTTATATTTAAAATGAAAAAAAAAAAAAAAATCAGTCACAGAGGCATTCAAGTAGTAATAATGTTATACAGGTTTTGCTTTTCCTTTAAATCAAGACAGATTTGCACAAGTGTATGCAATAGTTTGTATACAACCCACAGTCCTTAATATATATATATATATTTTTAGATTTCTGTTTTTAAGATGGAAGTGGTCACGCTAATTGGTGTGTACAGGCCCAAGTGATCCATCAGCAACACATTAATGAACGCAAATTTTACAGGCAAGCAAATTATATATATATAAATATATTTTTTATATATATATATATTAAAAATAAATTGAGAAAGACCAACACAAGGAAGCTACTTTTCTCGAGCTAACCCCTTAGGTACTGCTTTCCTTCCCTGTCGTTTTGCCGTTATTGCAGTGTTGCAAAACGAAGCCAACTACGACCAGAACCGGCTGAGCGCCCCGTGGAAATCAGCGGCCACCCCAGGGGTACCCGCGGGCCGTCTCCGGGAGGCAGAGCCCGGAGCCAGGACCCTACTGTGCTTTTCCTCATCGGCTTTTCCTTTTTCTCCGCGGTCGCTGAGGTTCCTCGTACAGGAGTACACGTCTGACCAGCTGACCCTTCTCCTT